CTCCCTCCTCCTCTCTCCTCCTCCCTCCCTTCCTTCCTTCCTTCCTCCTGAGAGTGAGTCAAGGATCAGGGGGCTCAACCCTCAATGGGTTAAAAGTGAACATAGGAACTAGTAAGGTGATGAGATGAACAAAAAATTTTGGTAATGAAAGACTGGATATCAGATTGGAGGGAGGTAGTATGGAGGAAGTGAATGTATTCAGATATTTGAGTGTGTACTTGTCAGCAGATGGATCTATGAAAGATGAGGTGAACCTTAGAATTGATGAGGGGGAAAAGGTGAGTGTTGCACTGAGGCATTTGTAAAGACAAAGAATATTATCAATTCAAGCAAGGAAGGGGAGTTTATGAGAGTATAGTTATACCAGTGCTATTATATGGGTATGAAACATGGGTGGTGAATGTTGCAACAAGGAGAAGGCTGGAGTCAGTGGAGATGTGTCTGAGGGCAATGGGTGGTTTGAATATAATGCAAAGAATCTGTAGTTTGGAAATTAGGAGGTGTGGGGTTACTAAAAGTATTATCCAGAGGGCTGAGGTGGTTCAGACATTTAAAAAGAATGGAACAAAATAGAATGACTAAGAGAGTGTATAAATATGTAGTGGAAGGAAGGCAGGGTAGGGGTCGGCCTAGGAAAGGTTGGAGGGAGAGGGTAAAGCAGGTTGTGTGCAATAGGCTTGGACTTCCAGCAAGCGTGCATGAGCAGATAGGAGCAAGTGGAGACAAATGGATTTTATGACTTGACATGCTGTTAGAGTGTGGGCAGAGTAAAATTTATGAAGGGATTCAGGGAAACCGGCAAGCCAGACTTGAGTATTGGAGGTGGGAAGTACAGTGCCTGTGCTCTGAAGGAAGGGTGATGTTGCAATATTTTTAACTGTAGTGTAGGCATACCTCTGGCAAGACATTGATGGAGTGATTGATGATAAAAGTGTTTTTTCTTTTTTGAGGTCACCCTATATTGGAGGGAAATGGCCGATGTGCTAAATAAAAAGCAGACTTTGGCTTCATTTTAAACCAAATTGCATGATATTGCCTTCTCTTTTAAACAGGATAATATTTGTACAAGAATGGTATACAATACCGACAAGATTAAATTAAGATGTGCATCATCTGGGTAACTTTATTGTAGACATTTCACCATCCAGTGGCTTTATCGCCACTAGATGGCGAAACGTCTACAAGAAAGATACCCAGATGCTGCACATGTGTCTTAATTTCATCAGGATAATATTTGTCAGCTTAATTCAAAATACGTTAGCTGTGATGCCATGGACTTCAAATGTTGTCAGGTCAGCAGAGTTCAAACCCAGCTAGACACCCCATAGTGAGCGAGTAGCCAGTCAGACACGTAACTTCAGGCAGACTGGACAATACTGCAGGCTGGGCTTCCTACTACCTATTCTCAGTATACCAGTTTACCCTCTCAGGGATTATCATTTGCCATGTATACTCCACTTAAGGACCCTTCCCTACAGATGGTAGCAGCAGTGTTCACATGAATTTTATTTATGTAGCCAAGAAGTGTTTTGTCTGTCAGTCAAGAGCTACTTGCAGATCAGTAAACTTCTTCTAAAGGCACTATTATTGTTGGATAATGTACTAGAACATGATCCAGAACTTGCCCAGTCCCTGGAAGCAGAATTTAGCTTTGTTACAGTTAAATTACTCCCACCCAACACCACTTCTCTGCTTCAGCCTATTGACCAGCGAGTGATCGCGAATTTCAAGAAAGTTTACACCACGATATTTGCCAAGCACATTGCAGAAACTTCAGGAGATGGAGCCATCAGCCTCAAGGAATTCTAGAAGGCTAAGTTTAACAGCTTAGATTGTGCGAGACTCATGGTGAATTCCGGAATGAGGGTTCCACTCAGTGCAGCCTGGAAGAAATTGTGGCCTTCAGTCATGTATGACTTCCACTAGTGGATGATCCCACTGTGATCCTGCCACCTCCTGCTTCGACTCACCTGACTGCAGTATATAAGCCACCTCTCTGGCCCTATGCTGTACTTCCTACAAGAGTGATGGACTGAACACATCGATTCCAGACTGAGGGACTGATTTCCTCAAACTACTCCTCTCCTTATATCTTCCTGCTTTGTTTTGGACTGATGAAGCCACTGTGTGGCAAAACGTTTCTTCAGTAAAGATTCCCATATATTGCATAAGTGTCTCAATTCTTCAACTTGTTGGTTTTCAAAACCATTCATCACGTATATCAGATACTGCAACATCATGGGATCTTGATACAAAGAATTCTCCAACACTTGTCCAATCTTTGGACGAAGACCTGCTTACACTAATGGATGGTCCCACTGTGATCCCGCTGCCTCCTGCTTCGACTCTCCTGACTGCAGTATATAAGCCACCTCTCTGGCCCTGTGCTGTACTTCCTACAGGCTGAGAGACTGATTACCTCAAACTCCTCCTCTCCTTATACCTTCCTGCTTTGTATTAGACTGATGAAGGCACTGTGTGGCAAAACATTTCTTCAGTAAAGATTCCCATATGTTGCACAAGTATTTCAATTCCTCACACACATGACGTTGAAGAATTTGAGGCTGAAGAGGATGCAAACCTAGGGAGGCTGTCACTCTTGAGCTGGAGGTTAGTGAAGAGAATGTGGAGGAATTGATTCAGGACCACATACAGAAGTTAATAACAGAGGAGCTCCAGCAATTAGGGGAGATTGATGAGGACAGTGGGGAGGAAGATGATCATAGGATAACAGCTGCACAAATTCAGTTGTTTTACTCATTGGGAAGGTGTGAAAAGAATCATTAAAAGCAAAAAGTGCCCAGACATTGAAACAACTGAACTCATTCACTATTTTTGAAGATAAAGTTTTATCTTATTTTAAGAACCTCAGAAGTAAGTGATAGAAACAATCAACTCTGATGAGCTTTTTCAAGAATCAGTGGTTTGAAGAAGCTTCTCCTTGCAACTAGTAACCTCTCCACCCTCTTCCCCACCACCACCAGCCAGTAACCTCCTTTCCACCCTCTCCTCCACCACACCACCAACCAGTAACCTCCTCTCTACCCTCTCCCCCACCACCAACCAGTAACCTCCTCTCTACCCTCTCCCCCACCACCACACCACCAACCAGTAACCTCATCACCACCACTAACAACAACCAGTAACCTCCTCTCCATCCTCTTCCCCATCACCACCCACCAACTCTTCAAATCCAAGATACAATAAAAGTTGCACTTCTGGGGTCTTGGAATGAATTACCCCAAATCTACATATTTTGGGGTTTTGAGATACAAGAAGTCTTCTGGAAGGAGTAATATTGTAGCTTGAGGGACTAATGTACTATATTTTTTAACCCTTTCAGGGTCAAGAGGCCCTCTCCTAAATTCGTTCTCAGGATCAAAAAAATTTCGGGGGGGGGGGGCGGATTTTTTTTTTTTTTTTTTTTTTTTTTTTTTTTTTTTTTTTTTTTTTTTTTTTTTTTCTTTCTTTCTTTCTTTCTTTCTAAATGATAGAGAATCTTTTCCCGATGATAATAACACCAAACGTATGACATATGATGGAAAACTTATGGAATTATGCTCTCGCGAAGTTAGCGGTCTCGACGACGTTTACGCATCAGCGATTTTGCCCACTTTGAGCCCTATTTTCGGCCAATTCCTCTGTACTAGTCAACAAAAATCATATTTATTTTGCTAGAACTTCATTTTTTCTATCGAATGAGTACAAGAAA